CAACACACACACACACACACGCACATGTGATTTATTTGTACTAGCAGTGGCATAGAAGAGCGGTATAGAATGACCAATCACTAACCGGTGGACAAAAACCGTGAGTGAAAAAGCACATCATTGATGGACAACAACATCACTGATGGGCTTTAAAGCAACTGCCTATGATGAAACGACATCAATGACCAGTTTTTAACCCAAACCATCAGTCATACACTCGTCAGTCACACAGCATTATTGGCAGTTTTTAAAACCCAACCTATGAACCAGTAACAGACCCGTTAGTGATATGAGAGGCCCAATGTAAGTCTATTTTGCGATAACATACCGAACGGGGCCTAAAAGCTCGAATTCTGCTTTAGGCCCTGTTCGCATGTGCTGCTCGAACAGTTTTAGGCCTCATTCGGTATGTGGGAATTCTGCAGGAATTTCATGGGAAAGCTGTTCCGTCGGAATGCTTTCCTTTTCTTGGATCTCTTTCATTCAAAGGATTTTCATAGGATCTTTGAAGGATTAGAATACTTAGGAATTTTTTCTATGTTGGTCTTTTGACTCGCAGGATAGAATCTTGCATGATTTTTCTTAAGGATTCATTTGTACTACATTTCATAGGAATTCTAACATACACTCCAATCTCTTGGAAGAAATCCTTTGTTTTTTCCGTGACACAATCAAATAAACTCAAATCCTGTAGAGATTCAATGGACATGCCATTCCAATCCTACGTTTTTCCTATTCCTATGTTTTATCAATCCTATGAATCAAAGAGGCCCCTAGTGTTCTGAACATAGGTATCACAAACAGTAATCCAAAGGAAAACATCCTTTCCCATGCCAGTCCAAAGGAATGGAAAAAATCAACCGCATCATCATTTTTTGGAGGAAGCCCGGGGCAAAGCTCTGGCTGGCGTCCCCCATGTAGTGTGAGCATGAATAACAAGGAACAGTGTGTCTAGCCAAATAAATACGGAAGTACCTAGAACTCATCTAAATGAGATATAGTTTGGTCTCATTCACTTTGAAAACAAGAACAGATACAACCCATGTTAGCACACACGCATCTTATAGCATCACATCCAATGGTTATAAAAGATGATGAGACCAAATTATATCTCATCTAGATGAGTTCTAGCAAAACTGAATAAATACTGCCCATGCGTATAGAACTGGATGTTTCCTACCCATGTTCCGAACACTGCTTCATATTCCTTTCCTCTATTTTCCCAATCCTATGTTTAGCATCAGGTTTCCTTTCCAATCCTCTATTTCTCCTGGTTCCTTTGTTTTTCATACCTGCGTTCCGAACAGTCCCTTAGATCTGCCACTCCCTCCCGGGTATGTTCACTACCGGACTCGCGGTCTATGCCTACGGCCAAGGGCCGTCGGCATAGGCCCCCAAGCCGTCGGCATAGGTCTATGCCTACGGCTGCCGTCGACATAGACCCGTCGGCGTAGATACCGTCAGCGTAGTCTTGTCAGACCGTCGGCATAGGGGCCTATGCCGACGGCCTGGTGTCAGCCGTCGGCATAGTATAGCCGTCGGCAGTCTTTTTCGTCTGACGGCAACAGACAGCGCCGTCAAAAACGGGGACGAATCATGCAAGGCCACGTGGCAGGGCTATGCCTACGGCAAAGCCGTCGGCATAGATGAGGGCCCGGTACGACGCTCCGGTGGCATTGCTACCCCCAGGGCCCCCGTCCCGGCTAACCCTGTAGCGTTTGACCACGGGATCTAGCCCTTTGACTTTGCACGGACGGGCTTTGACCAGTGGACCTCTCCACCCGGTTGTGTTAGGTCGGCCCAGAGGAACACTTTGGAGCAACATCCGGGCCAAACCCACAGCTACATCCACTCCGTGTAGACCCGACGCGTCCGTTTCCCCCCTCCAGGTGCCGGCGGCGGCGGCGTCCGTGAGAGGGGGGGG